TTATGATTAGCATGTGTAATGTGGGGAGGGGGCACGGGGAGGGCTGTGCAACACAGAGAAGACAAGTTGTGACTCCACAGTATCCTACTACGCTGATGGACAGTGACTGTAATGGGGTTTGTGGGGGGGACTTGGTGAAGGGGGGAACCTAGTAAACATAATGTTCCTCATGTAATTGTAGATTAATGATACAAAAAAAATCAGAAGAAAAGAGAAATTCAAACAATACAAATGTATACAGTGAAAAGTTTCCCTCATCCCTAACTGCATTTTACTCCCTAGATCTTCCAGAGGCATTCCCTCCCTACATGCAAAAACGTGTGTTTTCTGTCATTTTAAACAAAGTGCTTCTCTGATGACCCTCACTTGTGTCTGTCTTGTTTTTTCATTTTTGCAATCCCTTGCTACTCAGAGTATGGTCCACAGACCAGCAGCATTGGCATCATCTGGAAGCTTGTTAGAAATACAAAACCCTGGGTCCCAGCCCAGACCCACTGAATTAGCATCTGCATTTTAATAAAATTCCCAGATGATTCAATTGCATATTAAAGTTTGGGGAGACTTCTCTAATAAGCCTCCCTTCTCTGGGGTCCAAGCCAGGGCAGGACTTGGTTTCACTCCTGTCTCCATATCGCTGTGCCCAGCAGAGGCTTGGTCAACCTGGGCTGAGTCATTTGAAGTTAGATTCAGCCTGACTTGGGAGCAGGGGGCTGGGGGCTAGAGCTGGCAGTGGACTGGGCTGAGCTCTTTGTTCCCTCTCCTACTTCCTCAGCTTGATGAATGAGGTGGTCCACATGGGTCCCACCATTGGTAGCAACGTGGAGGAGATTGTTCTGTGGAAGACCCACTTCTTCATGTGGGACATAGGGGGACAGGAGGCTCTGCGTTCCACCTGGAACACATACTACTCCAACACAGAGGTGAGGAGAATGTCAGAGCTGAAGGGTCCCCCAAGCCAGCTGTATGACATTAGCCAGCCACTTAACCTCTCTGAGCCTGGTTTCCCCACTTGTGAGATGGAGATCATAATAATGGCCTCCCTGAGTGGATGTGAAAATTAAATAATAACACAATAGTAAATGCATATGTGTCAAATCCTAAATGCAGCACAGTGTCTGTTAAAATCTTTGACTACTTCCTGGCAGCTATGTCTGCCTGCTGGCAGCTTTCTGTTTGAAGGGTTGGATGGGGTAGGCCCTCCTTTGTCTCCAGGGGCCTTACTTTCCTTCTCTGGCAACAGTAGAATTCAGTGGTTTCATTCCTGGAGTGAGACTGAGGCAGGTTCAAATTTCAGCACTGCCACTCCCCTGTTGTGGGGCAGAGGACAAGATCCATCACCTTGCTGAACCTCAGTCTCCTATTTGTAAATGGGGATAATAATAGTTCCAAGTGCACAGGGTGTGTTGATGCCCAAGGCTTAGCATAGCTGTGCCACGCTGTCCTCTGTCTGGAAGGAAAAGGGAATGGAAGCGGGACTAGTGCAGTGAGATCTTGAGACTGGACAGTTTGTTTCCTGTGGGGCTTGCATCAGTGTAGTGTCAAGGCCGGGGCTGGGGGAGCATGGTGGGCAGGAGACACATTCACCAAAAAGAAAACCCACCACTCATGGTTCTCCTCTGCTGGCATTCATCATCCTTGTCATTGACAGCACAGACCGGGATCGGCTGCTGACCGCACAGGAGGAGCTATTTAAGATGCTGGGTCATGAGGTAAGCCCCCTGAAGTTGGGAGAGGGCCCAGCATACTAGCTATGAGACCTCAGCTTAGTCACTTAGCCTCTCTGAGCTTCATTCCCGATCTCTCAGTCTCTGAGAATGTTGATCCAGCAGCTTGGGCAGGGCTAGTTTATCCCAGATGAAAGAAAATAATGCCCTCAGCACAACTGATCACAGAAACCAGTTGCTGGTTCAGGTCGTGACCCCATGTCTCATTCATTGTGGGACTCCTGAGAAGTCACTTCAACTCTTTAATCCCCAGTTTCCCCAAGAATAAAATGGGGAGGATCATCAAACTCGCATCTCATAGGATTGTCATAAGGATTATATGAGCTGGTTGAGTGGTATTCTGAGCTGTTGGTGTCATTTGATTGATTGCTACCTGGGCCTCTCTTGCTGGGACAGCAGGGGAGCAAGTGGGGACTGAGAAGGGGAAGCTGGTGGGAAGGGAGTCTGGGCCTGGGCAGGTTGACTGAGGCCAGGCTCCTGTCTACAGGCTCTACGAGATGTTTCTGTCCTTATCTTTGCCAGCAAGTAGGATATGGAGGAAGCCATGACCGCTGTGGAGATTTCCTGATTCCTTACTCTCAGTGGCATCAAAGACCACCCATGGCACATACAGGGCTGCTGTGCCCTCACCAGGGAAGGGTTAGTGGCTGCCCCACCTGGACCTTCAGGGCTTGGCCCACCTATGACTGACCACAGGACCTTCTCCTGTCTCTCCTGCCAGAATTTGGCTCACAGCTCCTGGGCCAAGTCAGTCAAGCCCCTATCCACAATTAAGATGCTGTGGGTAAGCAGTGAGCCAGACAGAGTCCCTGTTTTAGTAGGGAAAGAGATGATGCTCTACCTAAATACAATCATTTTTAGGTACTGATAAATATAGGAAGAAAGTGAAATTGAATAAGAGTGATAGAGGGGCAAGGACGGGTCTGATTTAGCTCTGGTAATCAGACACAGCCTCTACTAGGAGGTGACTTTTGAGCTGAGACCTGAATAAAGGGACAGCCATGGGAAGACCTGGGGACAAGCCTACAAGGCAAAAATCGCAGACTCTTTCTGATCTTGAGTTTCCTTCTATGTAGAAAAGGAGGGTGACTACCTACTCCCTCCTAGAGCTTCTGTATAGAGTAAGTGATACCATTCACTCAACATTTATTGAGCACCTACTTTGTGCCAGGCACAGTTCTAGGCACCAGAGAAACAGCAGTGAACAGACAAAAATCCCTGCCTGCATGGAACCGCTGCCCAGTGGGTGGGCTGGGGGCAGGGACAGACAATAAACAATGAACATCAGAAAAATACATAGCAAGTTAAATAGTGGTAAGTGCTCATAGTAAAATTCAGGGAGGAAAGGGAGATTGGAAGTATGTGGGGGGAATGTTGTAATTTTAGATAAGGTATCCAGACAGGGGCAACTGAGAAGGTAACTGCTGAGTAAACACCTGAAGTATGTGAAGGAGTTGGGTCACATAGAAAGAGCCTGGAAAATTCTCTTTCCCTTCCTTTCTCAAATGGAATCAGAAGAGGCTGGGGACCCAGATGCCTGGTTAAAGAAGGGGAGACCCTGGCAGGTCAGCCTAAGGAACCATAGATTTCTGGCAGTGTCCTTGCCACCCTGGATCAGGAGGACCTCCTTTCCTCAATTCACAGTCAATTCAACTCAACCAGCATTTCCTAAGTACCCCCCTGCCAAGTGCCATGCCCTGTGTCAGGCAGTACAGATATGGCCAAGACTCCATCCTTGCTCTGGAGTTGCTCACAGTCTAAGGGCAGCACTTGCTTATGGAGACTCTTCCCAAGCTCTTGAAGTCACCCTGGTACTGCCCTCAGACATGGAGAGGGTGGGAAGGGGGCATAGGAACCTTGCCCAGAGACATTGCTAAGGCATGTCTCCAGGCCTCTTCCTCAGAGAAGCCCTCTCTGATTCCCAGACATCCAGAGACTTCCATACATCTCCTTCCTAACCTTAATCACAATATGAAGTTACAGAATTATTTGTTTGATCATTTATATAATACCCATCTCCTTGGCCAGACTGTAAGCCCCAGAGGGCATATCTGTGTTTTCACTAGTAACTGCAGCCCCTAGCATGGTACCTGATTCATAGAGGGCACTCAGTCTATTTATATTTGTAGATTCAACAAGTGGATGTAACTGTGGTCACCTCCAGGTAGGTATTGAGGGCAAGAAGGCCATCATATGCGACATGCTGATTCTAGCCCTGTTCCTCCTTCCCTGCAGGCTGCCCACTGGGCTCCAGTGGATGCAGTCTCAGGCCACTGACGACTGATGTCCCAGCCTGAGGCCAACCAGAAACTCTGGAAGTTTTGCTTGGACTATGTGGGTGGAAAACCCAAATGACTATTACGTTTTTATGATAAGAAGTGGGAGCAGGATCAGGGATGGACAGTGAGGTTGCCACAGTCCACCCAACCCCCACCGAGGAGCTAGACTGCCACCCTGAATTGCTGTAGACAAGACAACAGAAAAAGCCACCCTTCACTCCAGGGGAGCAGGTGTCCTTGGAGCCACCAAAGAAGCTGTCGGATGTGTTGGGGGATTAGGAAGTGGAGTTCCTCCCCTTGCACCCAGAAAAGGTTCTGGGTGCTGAGGGGGTGGGAGAGCAGACTAAAACTCCTGAAATTGCTCTTGACTTCCTAGAACCCAGCCCCAACCTCTTCACCCCCATCTCAGCTTTCTGGCCCCTCAGCCATCTTTGGGCAAAGGAGGTCCCACAATGGTGAAAGGCATAGGCTCAGGGAAAGGAAGTCAGAGCCCAAATCTGGGGGCTGGGTGGGGTTGGCGGGGACAGTGGGAGGAGGACAGGGCATCCCATCTAGGAACAGTCCCTTGCATTACAAGGAAGTCCACTCCTCCCTCACCTTTCCAATCCCTCTTGAGATGCTGGCTCCAACCACAGCTTTTGAACTTTAGGCCACCCCATCGTGGGCCCTTCACTCCCAGTGTCCTTCCAATGTGAAACCCATTCCTCCCAAATGTCCCAGATTCCCCAGCATCTGCTTATCTCGTCTGTTGAACCATTTCTGTAATGATTTTTTTTACATTGTTTTAGGATTTTTGCAAAGGTGTAATAAATGCTATTGAAAACTGCTCACCTTTTATTTTTTGCCTGCTCCTTCTACCTGTGCTTCAAACTGGCTTTTGTACAAAGTTCTCAGGCAAGGGGAACTCCCCCTTGGAAATGGAAGGGGGTTCCCTCAAGGGTCCATCTGGCTCTTTGGTCCTGGGCTTTTTCACCCTCTTCCAGGTGACAGACACCTAGTGTGCCAGGACTGGGAGCTCTCGGCTCTGCCTGGGCCTAAAGGAGGGAGTGATTTGATGCTGACTCCTGGAGGAGTGGAGGAGGGGCCCTTGGGGGTTGGTAAAGCCCGGGAGTCCTACCCAGGCAGAGCTAGAGACACGCTGGCCATCTGTATACAGGCAGAAGTGCTATTACCCCAGAAGAACTGGGATGGTCCTGGAGTCAGTGGGTCTCTCTCCTTCCCAAGTTAAGGGAACATCTCCTCAAGAGACTGGACACAGACAAAGAGGGCCAAGGACTTTTTGACCCTGTGGTTTTCCTAAGGTGTGATTTTGGAGGCAGAACCCAGGAATGCCATCTCCTCTCAGATTCCGTTTTCTTTTTCTTTTTTTTTTTTTTGGTATGATTACTCTACAATTACATGAGAACATTATGTTTACTAGACTCCCCCCATCACGAAGTTCCCCCCACATTCCCCATTGCAGTCACTGTCCATCAGTGTAGTAAGATGTTGTAGAATCACTACTTGCCTTCTCTGTGTTGCACAGCCCTCCCAGTGCCATCCCCCCACATTATACATGCTAATCATAATGTCCCCTTTCTTTCCCCCCACCCCTTATCCCTCCCTTCCCACCCATCCTTCCCAGTCCCTTTCCCTTTGGTAACTGTTAGTCCATTCTTGGGTTCTGTGATTGTGCTGCTGTTTTGTTCCTTCAGTTTTTCTTTGTTCTTATACTCCACAGATGAGTGAAATCATTTGATACTTGTCTCTCTCCACCTGGCTTATTTCACTGAGCATAATCCCCTCTAGCTCCATCCATGTTGCGAATGGTAGGATTTGTTTTCTTCTTATGGCTGAATAATATTCCATTGTGTATATGTACCACATCTTCTTTATCCATTCATTTACTGATGTCAGTGTTCTTTTTATTAAGTTATTGTGGCACAGTCCTTCGATAAAGACAATGGAAGAAATCAATTAATTAATTAGTAAGATTCTTTAATTTCACAGAAATTTACCTTAACAAACACCCACTGGTGTGCCTGGGGGTATAGCTCAGTGGTAGAGCATTTGACTGCAGATCAAGAGGTCCCCGGTTCAAATCCGGGTGCCCCCTCGCAAGGCCGGGTTTTCCTGTGTTTTCATAATCCCCCGGTCCACCTCTTAAAGGTTCCTTAGCCAGTCGTGCGGGTGCGGGTGGCGCAGCGACCGATCACTTTTGCAGGCGGCTGACGGTGGAGTCCCGGGCCCTGACTGCCCACTCCTGTACTGGCAGAGCGGAGGCAGCGCACGGTGAGGTTGGTCTGGCCAGTGATCCGACGGCAGTTCCCAGGGAGGGAGGCTGTTTCTAAGGGCTGGGTTTGGCTAGTGTAGGAAAGTCAAGAGAAGCCCTCTTGAACGTGTGGGACGGAGAGAGGGGCGCCGAGAAGCAGTAAGACGGCCCCTCGCAGGATAGTGGAGGGAGACCCCGGCCCAGAGGAACGCCCACGAACTGAGGGATCTCGAGGGACTTTCCCCTTCCACATTCCCAAATCGCCTTTTTCTTACACCATCGATAGAAATCTTTAGCTCAGAGCTTCGGGAGACACTCTACGTCCAGAAGAAAAACATCTTATGATTTATATTCTTTCCAAATACAGTACCTTGGAACCCATTTCTCACGAGCACATGGCGCCTGCGTGGTAATGGCACTAAGTGGCTACCCGCGGCCCAACTGCCAGCAGAGGGGGTATAGCTCAGTGGTAGAGCATTTGACTGCAGATCAAGAGGTCCCCGGTTCAAATCCGGGTGCCCCCTTGGGCGTTCTTTTAATAAGATTCCCCAAGGTACATTGCGGCGAGTTACAACCTTCTCTGAAGTTTTTTCTTTCTTCCTAATCTTTACGATAACATTTCTTTCGCCACTTTTCTTTTGGGCAGATGACCACCTGAGAATGACAAACGGCAGATCCTCGGCCTCCCCAGTACTACTGAATTAGAAACTTCGGGGTGGCGCCCGGCAACCTGTTTTAATAAGTCCCTCCAGGTGATTCTGATGATCAATGAAGTTCCAGAGGCTTCTATTTGGAAAACTTTACACTTCGTTTGCTTCTAATTATTTCCATCCAAGTTGCTGTTTCAGCCTCAGCCCTTGTAGGAGACCATGTAAGACAGACCCCGGGACCCGCGGGACGGAAAAATGCACGGAGAGACCCGGGCTGGAACTGGAACTCCGTCCCGTGACCTCTGCCCCTGCCCCCCCGGGAGGTAGGGGCGAGGAGACGCGGACCCGCAGGGCCCGGGCTGGAGGTGGGGCGGGCCCCTGGGCAGGTCCGGAAAAGTGAGGGAAACCTCAAAGCCCTCGCGCCGCGCGTCGTCACGCCGCACTAGAGGGCAGCAAGAAGCCGCCGCTGAAAGCGGCACTATTTGGGGCTATTTGAGAGTCGGCAAGATCGGTATTTAACTTAAACAGCAAGAACTTACAGACAGGCCTTGCCTCGCCTCATTGGAAGGGATTAGAGGGGTTAGGGCTGGAAAAGGTCGTTTCTGGGACCGTGGGTCCTGAGGAAGGAGAACTGGGATTCTGAGAGGGAGTCTGGCTCTCCGGTCCGTTCTTTGGCCTCGGCGTCAGGGAACTCTTCCAGCCCACAGTGCCCCTTCGCCGGTTCCCACGCTTATCCCTTTTCTTGGGGGAATTCCTCCATTGGCCTTCAGCGTCCATACCCTTGCTCCCCGCGGCCTTCCAGTCCCTAGGCTGCAGCCCCGTAGAAGCCAGGTGCCCTCTCACCCCTCACTCTCCCACCCTCCGGTGCTCCAGCTCCTTGCCTCTGCGCGAAATAGGTCAGGGGAGGGAAGAGGCACCTCTGTGTCCTGACCTGATTCCCTGCTGTTCTATTAAATCTAAATTACGGGTATTTTTATTCTGCCCTGAAAGAAAAAAAAAAAATCTATCCCCAGAGCCTGTCCTAAGGTGGTGGCAGTTGGGGTGAGACGTCTTCTTGCTCTGGGGCTGGCTTTGAAGATTGATTGGGCGAGACCCGGAGCAGGCCTGAGGTCCCCAGAGAAGAGGGTGGCCTCGGTTACCTTATGGGGGCCGGGGAAGGTCCCGACTATTTCAAAGTAGGATGACCCAGGGCCCCTCTCTTCCATGTCTGCTGGGCTTGCGGGGCAAGAGGTGCTGGAAATGGGGGGTGGCGGGATGAAATGGAGAGGAGCCACGGGAAGGGGTGGAATCCAGGGCTCTGTTGGGGAGAGAAGCCGGGGGAAGTCTGCTGCAAGGGGAGATGATAGGGTGGGCAGGGCGGCAGGTGTGGGATGCGCAAACCCTCAGAGCTCGGAGGAGCAGCCCAGGAAGTCGGGAAGCCTCGTGGAGCTGGGGGCGAGGGGTGGTGGCAGGAGTTGACAGACCGAGGAAGGGGCGCCGGTGCCTCCCTGGGGCAGACTGGCCCTCGGGGCATCTCTCTGCGGCTTTACCCAGGGGCGTGAAGGAGGAGAAGGGAGGCAGGAGCTAAGGTGTGGTGCGGCGGGCAGCTGAAGCTCTTCAGGGGCTCCCCCAGCCTGCACCCCCCCGCTCTGTCCCCCTGCTGCCCCTCCCTTGGGAGCGGCTGCGGGAGCTCTCGGACGCGCTCTGGGAGGGCTGGGAGACCGGGGAGGGCTCCAGCGGCGGCGCCGCGCCCCCCGCCCCGCCCCCGCCCCGTCCCCTCCAGAGGACGCAGCTCTGCTAGCCTGTCGCCGGCTCGCGCTCTCCGCGCTCCCGCTGCCTCGCCCCGCGCCCCGCCGCCGCCTCGTCGCTCTCCGCTCCGCCTGCCAGCCCTCGGGACCTCGCGGCCAGAGCCCAGGCCCCCCTCCCTCGCCAGGGCCCGGGCAGCAGCGGGCCGGGGGCGGGTCCCGGCACCCACCATGCGGGGTGAGCTCTGGCTTCTTGTGCTGGTGCTCAGGGAGACTGCCAGGGCGCTGAGCCCCCAGCCGGGAGCAGGTAGGACTGGCCGGAGTTGGCCTGGGTGGGCCAGGGTGCGGAGAGAGGGTGGGCAGGGCGGCAGGTGTGGGATGCGCAAGTACCGACCGGCTGGCAGTGTCCGGGTGTGTTGGGTGGGGGTTGCCCCCAGGGGGGACCAGGAGCTCTGGGGGCGGTGGCAGGTGGACAGGGACCCCACTTTTCTAGACACATAGGGTATGTATGTGAGGGTGGACTGATGGCTCGGACCTTGACACTGGAGGGACCCCAGTTGAGGGGACTTCATAAGGCAGTGGGACTCTGGTCCCAAAGGAGAGTCATAGGGACCCCTGGTCATACCAGGTGAGGCTAAATTCTGATGACATGGGGAGCTGAGGCACCTCCTGCCCCAGCTTTGCCTCCTCTTTCTCTTCCCTGCCCCCACCCTCAAGCTGACCCAGGTTGGGTCTGAGCCAGATTTTAGGGCTGAGCGGGAGCAGCCTAGGGGGTGGTGGAGACCCAGCATCTCTCCCAGAGGAAGGGCAGTAGTGGCCTGGCCTGATGCCTTCTGCTCACTGTTTGATGCCTGGAGAGTGGTCCCAGGCCTAGGAAGAAGCAACTTGCTGCTCCCCTAACCCCGAGCCCCCAGGGTCCTCCTGTCATTCTTGCTCTGCTCTGCTCTGGTGACCTTTGGCCTTTAGCTGCCCTGGCTCTAGATGGGGAAGGGGGCTCCTATCTACACACAATTCCCCGGCACCAGTTCTCCATAATCATCTCTCCCACCTGGAAGCCCTTTCTGAGATCTACCTTGAGTCTCTCGTGTTATATAAGAGCCACTTTTTAACATGTAATTTCAAATTCTCCTACTTTCTCCTCATGCACCCAGACCTTCTCTGGGGTTGTGGACGTTCATATT